AGAGAGGGAGAAAAAGAGAGTGGGAGAGGGAGGGAGAGCGAGCTAACTGGTGGTACAGAGAAGGATTCCCTGGAAGTTCTGAGCGCTCAGTTGGGGTTGCTGGTTAAGAATCTGAGGTGCTTCCATTCTGGCAACGATGGGGTTTCCTATCTGAATTATAGGCACCAGCAAGGAGGAAGGAGAGAGTTGGGTTGATGCATGGGGGCGTAACTCATAGGCCTGGCTTAGCCTTGAAAGGATGGGAGGCTTATGGGGACTGAGGGGTGGAGAGGAGGAAGAGGAGTCAGGAGTCCAGGAGAGGCACCCAGGAGTGGGCAGGGCCGAGGGAACTGGAATTCTGTGTGGTGCGAGGTTCCTGGAGAGGGTGGCTGGAGGGAAGAGAGGAGGAGGTCAGAAGAGGAGGTCAAGAAACAGAGTCCAGGGGGTTCTGAATTCAACCAGGAGAGAGAAGGAGGAACTGGCTTGACTCAGGCAGAACCAGCGGGTCCCTCTGTGGGAGAAGGGACCCTGGGAGGCAAGTGGAGCCGAGCCCACAGTGGGGAACCAATGAGCCTGTCTGGACTCAAGGACTGTCTGGGGTGGGTTTGTTTGGGGGCACTGCACAGCCTCTGGGCTCCTTGGTCCTGCCGCAGAGCCAGCCCTCTGCCGAGGGGTTCAGGGCCTCTGGCAGGCAAGCCCTCCAGGGACCCCATTAACCAGACGAGACTGTCGTAAAGTACAAGGTCTCCTTTCATCCGGCTGCTTTGAACCACCGCTGGTTGCCCTGGCCGGCTCCCCACCTGGAGCCCAGCACACCCACCGGGGCCTGCCTGCGCGTCAGGCACCCACCCTGCAAATAAACAGCTAGTAAAAGGGCCCAGACCAGGAGCGTAATGAGCGCCTGGGACCTGGGGGGCCATTCCCCAGGCTGGAGCCCCAGCCCAGCTGCTCCCACCAGGGGCCGTTTGAACCTCTGGCTCATTATTGAGCCCATAAACCAGGCCGGCCAGAGGAATGGAGGCTGCTGGCGGCCTGTGCAGGCAGGCCTGTGGTGCTGGCCATAAAAGCCCCGCCAGAGGAGGGAGGCACCTGCAGGAGGGCTGGGGCCGGAAAAGGGGGAGGCACCAGACGGGCTGGGGGCTGAGGGGCCAGCTGGAGACCTGAGTCCCTTCACCAGCTCAGGCAGCAGTCCAAACCGTGGCCAAGTGTTTGCAAGGTGGCCAGTCTTCTCGGGGCATGGTCTTTGGTTCGGGAGCTCTGTGGGCCTGTGTGACCTGGGGTGGCCACCTGGCGGGCATGGCCCTGACTGGGCAGCAAGGCTGTGTATGCAGGGCACCCAGGACCAGACAGACCCTGTGTGGTCAGCAGTGCTTCCTGACTCCCTAGGGAGTCTGCCCCTCTGATACTTGGTCCAGGCCTCTGCTATGACCTGGCACTGATGACCTGGCACCCATGGTCTATGGGATGGTCAGAATGTTTCCTGTCCTTGCCACCCTCCTAGGTCAAGCTACAATGAGAGGACAGAGAACAGGAGTGAGCAGGGACGCCCAGTGACAGTCTTTTGAGTTGAGTGTGGCTAAACCCATGGTAAACCCAAGCCTTGGTGAGCCCAGGCTCCACCCCTCAGCTGCTCCACGGGGCGTCCAAGGGAAGGGGCCCAAGATGACGCTGTTTGGATGACTAGTCTGAGGGTGTTGGGATGGGGAGAACAGAAGGGTGACGAACTTTCTAGCACCAGGGGCTTTTGATTTACCCCAGGGCAAGCTCTTGGAGGTAAAGGTGGCTGACCTAAGAGTTGGCATGCCGAGGGAGGATCTTGGATCACTGCCCCCTAGTGTCACCTCCTTACAGCAGTGTGTCAAGGGGATCCTTTTGGCGACAGTCAGGGTGGGGTGGGTGACCTCGGGTTCTAAGCCAGCCCACCCTGTCCCCAAGATCACATAAGCAGATCAGGATTTAGAGGTGAGAGCAGGATTCTGGAACCTGACTGCCTGGGTGTGAACCCTGGCTTGCCGCGTCCCAGCAGTGTGACTCACAAGGTACTTGCACTGGTTTCCTCAGCTCTGAGGACAGTATCTCTCTTGTAGATTGTCCGAAGTATAAATGAGTTCATAGCGGCAAAGGGCTGGCTTATAAGAAGTACGATATTAATATTGTTATTAGCCGTCAGGTCTTGGGTAAACTCTTAACTTCCCCAAGCCTGTTTCATCATCTGTAGAATGAGAGTGAGAAACTTGACTCACAGAACTGGGAAGATTAAAAGAGCTCCCTATGCGAAGAGAGCCTGCGTGGCACCCTCCCGGTCCTCGAACGCTGCTCTCTGGGGCCTCATCAGTCTTCCCACCGGGACCTGGCTCTGGCAAGTCTCTAAGGGGTGTCCCACTCCACTGCTTCCTCCAGGCAGCCTTCCAGGCTGGCAGGGACCACTGCCTCTCTCTAATCTTGCCTTCTTGCTTCCTTCTCTGCTCTTCCTCTGGTCAGGATGCTTTCTGGAGGCTGGACAAGACTGAGAGCAAAATCCCAGCGCGAGTGGTATTCCAGATCTGGGACAACGACAAGTTCTCCTTTGACGACTTTCTGGGTGAGCACTGCTTCCAGTCTGCACCATTCTGCACATTGTGGGCTGCCCCACAACCCCCGCTGTGTGTGTGTGCCACTCTTGGCTGGCTAGCAGGAGATGCAGTCCTATTTTCTGCCCTCAGGGAGCTCAGCGTCACTGGTCCCTGGTGCTGAGTGAGGTCTGTGACAGAGTAGTGCCAGAGTAATTGGAGTGGCCAGCGGGGTGGGCCTGTCAGCATAGGTGTCATTGAACACTGGGCTGTGTTGGATGGTAGGACTCAGATAGGTAAGGAAGAGAGGGAAGCAGAGGTCGAAGGCAGTGCAAGCATACACTGGCTGTCACTGGCTGTCACTGGCTGTCTGGCCTCAGGCTTGACAGGATGCTCCCAGCCCACAGCCCTCAGTCTAGATGCAGACTGAGCCCAGCGAGGGCCTGGAGTCGCTCTTCATCCTTGTGTCCAAGTGAGGACCGGATACATGAACACAGCTCTGTCCCCCAAGCCCCAGACAGGATTCTTTTGGGGTAGAAGTGTGCTGAAACCCTGAGCTGGGGAGCAGGGAGTGCCGGGCTGAAGGATGTGGTGGAGACAGTGCTCTCGCAGGGGTGAGATGTGGGGCAAGGAGGATGGCACTGTATGGCGCCAGCAGGCTGGACTGTAACAGTCCCATCACAGCTATAAAAGTTACCCAGGAAAATGTGGTCTATACATACAATGGGATAGTCTTCAGCCGTAGAAGAAATGAAATACTGATGCATATGCTACAACAGGGATGAACCTTGAAAACATGCTAAGTGAAAGAAGCCAGACACAGACAGACACATAATGTGTGATTCCATTGATATAAAATGTCCACAATAGGCCGGTCTATAGGGACAGAAAGTGGGCTCATGGTTGCCAGGGCTGGGAGAAAAGGGGAGTGGGGAGTACAGCTAATGGGTATGATGTTTCTTTTGGGGGCGATAAATGTGTAATTAAAATGACACTTTTTGTGTTAGACAGATTTCACCACAATAAAAACAATTGAAAAGTGATGGATGATAGATGTAGACAGTGGGTAAATGAATGGATCCGAGCACAGTGAGAGGAACAGCTGAGTGGGTGATAAGTTCTGTTAAGACGAATCAGTAAGGGTAGATTAGCGGGCACGTGGACATGTGAGTAGGTGGGTGGGAAGCTGTAGAGATGGAATAAGAGGCCATGGATGGGGAGCTGGCGTTTGAGGGATTTGACCTGTGACCAAGCCCATGGATAGGGGCTGAGGAGGTGACTGAGTTTTTTTGGAACCTGCCCAGCCCCTTGGCTGCCTGTGATTGAGAAACCCTCCACCGAAAAACCCCTTTCTGTCGCAGGCTCCTTGCAGCTGGATCTTAACCACATGCCCAAGCCTGCCAAGACAGCCGAGAAGTGCTCCTTGGACCTGCTGGATGACACGTTCCACCCGGAGTGGTTTGTGTCCCTTTTTGAACAGAAAACCGTGAAGGGCTGGTGGCCCTGTGTGGCAGAGGAGGGTGAGAAGAAGGTGCTGGCGGTGAGTTGCTTCTCCCAGCCCGGTGGAGGCGCGGGAGCCACTCTTCACTGGGCACCTCTGGGTCGTTCTCCCTCTCTCCTGCCCCTCTCTCTGTTTTCCAAGGCACTGTCCCTTTTCCCTTCCAGTTGCCCGCCTTCCTCTCCTCGAGGCGCACATTCCAGGGAAGCCTATTTAAATGGAAAGATGCCCTTCTCTCTCTCGAACTCTGGCTGTTTTCTGCTCCTTAGCCTTCACAGTGACCTGTGTGCTGGGTTCCCCGCTGGCTGGGCCTCCTGTGGAGGACAGGGGTCCTGCCTCTCATTTGAGCAGGACCCTGTGAGGGACTGTCCTGGTACCACTGTCCTTGCCCAGAGGTATGAAAGGGGACTGTGAACTGTCCTTCCATTAAAGAGGAAGTGAATCTCTGACAGTTTGCTTCAAAATGGCAGGCAGCCAGCCAACTCCTAAAGTGGCCCTTGAAATAAAATATCCTTACTGTTTAAGGAATTATAAAAATGAACAAGAAATAACTAACATTTCAAAAGAGCACAGGGCACGCATAGATAATACACAAAAGAAGTAAAAAGGAACGTTAAACACTTAAAAAGGTTTATTTCTCCTAGTAATTAGATAGGGGCATATTTTTTTAAAGTAAAAACATTTTTTGCCTATTAAATTATAATTACAAAACTAGAAATGCTCATTGCTGGTGAAGATACAGAGATAGGCCCCTCATTTACTACTGCTGGGAGCGCTAATGTTTTTACTATTGGGGAAGCAATTTGGTAATATACAACAAAAGATTTGACAATCTTTATGCCCTTGGCCTCTGTCATTCCACTTCTAAAATCTCTCCTAAAGAAATAACTAGCTAAAATAAAAAAAAAATTAGGTTTGGGGTGTTCGTCGCAGCATTATTTATAATATTAAAGAGTTGGAAATAATCTAAATGAACCAAAATAAGTAGTTTACAAAATAAATTATGACCAACCATCCCATAGAATGTCTTAAGGCCATTAAAAAGCAAACTTTAAAGAATTTGTGATTACATAGTGAAATAGAGTATATTCTTAAGTGAAAGAAGTAAGCTGCAGAACTATGTATATACACAGTGTGATATTTCATATACATGCAGAGAAAAACAATTCTGATGCACAAAAATATTAGCAGTCTTGCCTCCATATAGTAGAAGGTTGGCTGTTATTTTTCTTCCTCTATATGGGCAGACCTTGGAGATATTACGGGTTCAGTGTTAGACCACCGCAATAAAGTGAATATCGCAATAAAGTGAGCCACACAAATTTTTTGGTTTCCCAGTGCATATAAAAGTTATATTTATAGTATACTGTAGACTATTAAGTGTGCAATAGCATTATGTCTATAAAAACAATGTACATACCTTAATTAAAAATACTTTATTGCTAAAAAATGCTAACCATCATCTGAGCCTTTAGCGAGTCGTAATCCTTTTGCCGGTGGAGGGTCTAACCCTCAATTTGTAAAAAACGCAGCATCTGTGAAGCGCAGTAAGCAACGCACAATAAAACAAAGTATGCCTGTGTATTTCTTTAGATTCAAAATGTTCTACCGGAATCAGGTCAACCCAATATCATTTAAAAAATAAAGTGGCTCTTACATTTGTCCTGGTCTGGCTCCTCTCCAGGTCATGGGGCAGAGCGTTTGTGCCCCTGACCAGGCCCCCTCTGCCCCGCAGGGCAAGCTGGAGATGACGTTGGAGATAGTAGCCGAGAGCGAGCATGAGGAGCGGCCTGCTGGCCAGGGCCGGGATGAGCCCAACATGAACCCCAAACTCGAGGACCCAAGGTCAGTGCCCAGCCTCCAACCCCGGATGCCTAGAGTTATGAAAGGTGTAGCCACAGCACGGGAGGCCCACTGCATAGTCATGCAGAGGTCACAAGGCCCACATAGCCCAGAGAAGGCCACACGGTGTTAAGGGGCAGGTGACAGACGTCATTCCAGGGGATGCAGGGCTCCTCAGCTAGTTCAAGAAGCAGGTTGGTTGTGTACCAGGTACACTGACATATGTCACGTACACGTGTTACGGAACCGTCCGCACCGAGTCGTTATTATCATCTTCATTTTACGGATGAGGAAACAATCTCAGCAAAGTTGAATAAGATCATTCCACTAGGAAAGTGGTGAAGCTGGAATTCTCACACCGGTCTGATTGGCTCCAGAGACCCATCATAGTTTTTCCCCTGACCAAGCCACCGTCTGTGGCTCTCCTGTGGTGTCACTGTAGCTTTCAAAAATGGTCTTCCAGCCTTAATTTTCCCATCTGTGAAATGGGGGGACCAGTCCCTGTCTTCCCTACCTCACAGGCCCCAAAGAACACAGACCACTCCAGTGGATGTAGAAGCCCTAAAGGCAGTCACTAGGGGCTGAAATACTGCTCTTGGCTGAGGGGCAGGGGTGCTATATCAAGGCTGTGTTTGCTGAGTCCTTCCTTGTGGCCTGCTCACCTCAAATCAGACTTGGCACTGACGGTTCACTTTATCAAGCTGCTGTCCCAAGTGCCACAGAGCAGGCAGAGCAGGCAGAGCAAGGAGAGGCATCCTTGCCCAGGAATGTTGGGATCTGGGTAGAAAGACAAGAGAGGCTCAGAAGACCCAGCAGCATGCAGTTAAATTGGCCATTATCGAGACAAAATCTTGCATGCTCTTTGAGTTGCGAGGCTGACCTAGGGGAAGGTTTTGAGGTTCTTGGTTGTGAGTAAGAGAAACTCAGCTTCCTGGGTTCACTTCTTGCAATCCTTCTCTGACCATAGACCCGCCATATGCATCTAGGCAGGTGGCTTGGCTTATCTGGGGCTCCGTGGGCCATAGCTCACCTAATGTGACAGCTTCTCAAGGCTCTGCCCAGCTCTCAAATCCCTAGCCTGTGATTAAGTCTTGGGTCGGGAAGGAGAGAGGGTGGCAGGGAAGGTGTCCTGGACAACTGGGTGGCTGAGAACTGGGCCCCTGAAGGTGTGTAGGACTTGGTGGCACCAAGAAGAGGAGGGCAGCACGAGTGGCACTCACACTGGAGCACAGGCTTGGAGGAGAAGGGAATGCGGGTGCAAAGGGCTAAGGTTTGGGGATGGGACTGGGGGCTGACAGCAGAGGGCCAGGGCAACTTGGGAGCAGGACGTGGAGAGAGCAGCCGTGGTAGGGGTGCCTTGCTGACCTCTGGGGTCTCACTTCCAGGCGCCCTGATACCTCCTTCCTCTGGTTTACCTCCCCGTACAAGACTATGAAGTTCATCTTGTGGCGGAGGTTCCGGTGTGCCATCATCCTCTTCATCATTCTCTTCATCCTGCTGCTGTTCTTGGGCATCTTCGTCTATGCCTTCCCGGTGAGTGGGCCCGAGGGGAGGCCACAGGCGTTGACTTGGAGAAGCTCCTGGTCTGATGTGGGAGGTACAGCTCCTGACTTTCTCACAGAGAGTCTGGTCTCATGGGGAGTCTGTCCTTGTCCTCAAAGATCCCCAGTCTGATGGAGAAAAGTAGCCTCTGTCCTTGCGGAGCTCGTGATCTGACGAGGGGGACATGACCCTTCCTCTGGGGAGTCCCCAGTCTGGTGGGGAGATGAAATCCTCCGCTTGGGGAGCTCTTAGGCCAATAGGGGAAACTGAGCTCTTGCCCTCCCCAGGGAGACACGGCTGTCCCCAGCAAGCCCCCGGACTGTGTAGTCAAAGGGTTGGTAGAAGATGAGCCCCCTTGGGCAAGGGTGGGTGGGAGAAACTTCCTGAGGGAGGACGTGGAGCTTGGTCTGGAAGGAAAGGGAGGCAATGGATGGCAGAACAGAGGAAAAGGTCCCTCTGTGAGAATGGCACTTACTGAAATCCAGAGGGAGGACCTGGGGCAGGGAGAAGGTCTCAGCGTCCATCTCTAAGTCCCGCTCCCAAGTCGATAGAGTGTATCCTGCCTCCTGCAGTAGAGTAGGCATGGGGGAAGAGGTGAGTGGACAGGAGGAGGCCTAGCTGCCTCTCACTTGACACAATGCACAATGGGGGTCTCTTTCACCTGGCAAGAAGGCAGCTGCTACTTCCCCATCTGAGGAGGATCTAGGTGGGGCTTTATTCTTCATCTGGGCTTCCCTGGTCCTCACAGCTCATCAGGGGAACCCTGAAGATGCTCTGCAAGGCACCCCCCTCCCCGCCAAGGTCTGGAACTTCAGACCTTGAAGGCATCACAGTGTTCTCAGGCTGATACCTGATTTTTAATGTTCTTTAAGCTAAACAAAACAAAACAAAACAAAACCAAACAAAACAAAACAAATCCTTTTTAATATGAAATTTTCAAGCTGATATAAAAGTAGAGAGAATGGCACAGTTGACTCAATGTTACCCTGTTTTGAATGGCAAAGAAACAGGCACCCAGAGAGGGCAAGGGACTGGCTCAGGATGCAGGGCAGTCTGTGCACAGCTCCCAGTCCTGGGTTCTGGGCGCTGTGGGCCTCAGTGCCGGTCAGCACCAGGCCACCGGCCAAGCGCAATGTGCCCGCAGTCTGCTCTGGGAGTTGCTTGCCTGTGCGCATTTTGCTTTGTGAATCCTCGAGGAGGAGGAGGTAGATAGGGAACTCTCTCCCACTGTGCCTGCTGAGCCCTTGGATCAGCAGGTCCTGGAGTTGTTAGAAGAGCAGTCCAACATCATTTCATACAACGTTGATGAGATGCCCTAAGAACTTAACTCTTGTTTACGTCAATTAGCTTCCGGGAAAATTGGTTTTGTTATGTCATTTTGCTTAAAGTGGCAGAACCTATCGATGATGACGTTAAGTGTAGACTTACTGTATCGGCACAGCGCACCTCCTGCGGGGAAGAGAGTTAAAACCACAAGGCCATCCCCTTTAGTCCCTAACATCAGGAACTGTGGGGAACAGCAGAGGGGACGGTTTTTGTCTGGGCCATAAATGACAAAGGAGGGTGCAGGATCAGGATGGCGGATGAGTCTGGCCGTAGGCCAGGCCCTGTGAGCCGGCTGTGATCGCCTGGAACACTTTGCCGAAATATGTTCTGAGGCTCGGCAAGAAGAGTTATAAGTGATAGGGCAGATATGGCTGTGTTCTGGGGGTCGGTTTTGGTTGTGGAGACTTGAATCTTGTCCAATTTGGGGGACCCTCTCGAAGCAAAGGAAGAGGAAATTACAAACACAGGTTCAATACTAGTCAGGCACATGCAAGTGTGGTGCCCTGGAGTGTAAGCTGCCCTGGGGGACGTGGGATCCAGTGTCAGGCCCATGACTGTGCCTCCGTGTGTCCCCCCATCAAGCAGAGCCAGGATACTAAGTCGGAGAGGTGAGGTCTCCCTTGCCCGATTGCCCTCAAGCTCCCTTCCTGTAATTTTGAGTGTATCCAGCCCGTGGTATATGTTTGGGAGGCGGGGGTGTGTTGTAGCGATGAGAGCAAGGTGATGATGCTCGTGCCACTGCGGTTTGATCCCCTGGGAGATACAGTGAGGGAGGGAAAACATGACTATAATCAGTCATGAGGCTCAGGCCAGGGGAGGTTTGGCAGAGCTGGTGTAGACCCCTGCTCCTCCTAGGTGCAGCAGTGGCCTCAGTACCAGGGAGCTGGTTAGAAATGTGGAGTCCTGGGCTAGGCCCAGGTCTGCTGAGAAGAATTTGCACTGGGGCACATTTAGGTCAGACGATCGCTATTGTGCATGGTGGAGCTCTGCACTTAGGGTCAGTAGATGAAGGCTGGGCTCTGGCTCTGCTGGCGTGTGACCTTGGCAAGGCGCTCCCATCTGCATGAGGACAGGGCTGGGCTAGGTCAGCTCTGACCTGCTGTGACTAGTGCTGTGGGTAGGGGAGCTCTTTCGTTTTCCCTGGAGTGGGGCAGCTCATCAAGCCAGCTTCCTTCTGAAGAGGCAAAGGGAAGGCAGGGACAGGTCACCATTGCCATCACCATGGCACTTTCTATGTCTAGCTTCCATCCTGACCGGCTGGGCCCTGTCCTGTGAGGCAGTTGGGCAGCAGGCTAGGTATTCAGGGGTCTGGGGAAGGAGGCCCCACTGACCAGTTGAGAGAGGGTGGGAAGATTTCCGGTCACTTCCAGCCCCATGGTCCTTTCTTGTCCCTGGGGCAGCCTTAGCCCCAGGCCCTGTGGGCAGGAGCAGAGAAGCACTTTGACCAGTAGCCCTGGTCAGAGCCCTCCCCTGTTTCCTGGGTCCCCAACAGTGGCATCATCCTTCTTTGAATTCTTCTGGAAATTGTCCTCTTTAAAATACCAACTCCACCTTCCCTCTCCCAGAGCTGGTGTGTGAGGGTCAGATCTTATGTGAGGGGTCCGGGGCTAAAGGGGCAGCCTGGGCCTGAGGCTGCAGACCGGTTTTGTTGGCAGGCCTTTGCTACAAGCTGGGCAAATCCCGCTGCTCTCCACTAAGTCTCCTAATCACCTGGTGGGCTCCAAGAACTTCACCTGACTTACTTGTAGGCCTTTGGGAGGCAGAGGGCCTGGAAGAGAGCTGCTCCCCTCTAGTTGGTCCAATCTCCCACCCTCTTGGAAATTCCTCTGGGAGTGGGACAAGGAGGGCAGCCTGTCTGATTCCTCCCAGCTCCCCTGCAGCCAGCCGGGAGCAGGGCCAGCGTGGGGAGGCAGGAGGCGATCTGGCGGGAAGGCTTTGTTTCCAGAGCTGGCTTTCCCGGGCCGGCGCTGGGGAACATACTGTCCCAATTAGGAGCCCTGCGTTGTGTTGTATGTGCTTTCATGGTTTTTGGGGGGAGGAGTAGAGAGAGGAGATTCCTCTCAGTCCTACAGCAGCCAGAGCCTAATCAGGGGTGACCCATCCCAGGTGCTGGCCTGTGTTATGGAGGTGCTGGTCACCCCCGTAAATCCCGCCCCACTGCTCTCTGCTTTCTGGACAGGAGTTTGGTGGCCAAGGAGCCCTGGGTTCCCATGTGGCGGAGGGGGATAGGGGAGGTGGGGAGAACCCCAGCCATACCTTCAGGTCACCTGTCTGATGGAAGAAGCCAGGGCAGGCCCTAGTGATTGAAGTCCTCTTGGCAGCTGTTTGGAACATGGGAGTGCGCCCTGGATCGATGGGGCAAAATATAGAGCAATTCGGGCAGCTGTGGCCCCCTGGTGGGAGGGTGCTGGCAGAATTTCAGGAGAGTTTGGGCTTGTGTGATTGGCAGGAACACCGGGAGGGTGGAGTGTCGAGCTCAGTGAGGTGCAGGGGCGGAGTGAGGGTGAGGTGCAGGCAGGCGGTTGAGTAGATGAGCCTCCTTTTCCCGCTGAGTCCCTCCTGGCAGTTATCACCACGTGTCCTTGCCTCCTCCCTCCCTCCAGAACTATGCTGCCATGAAGCTGGTGAAGCCCTTCAGCTGAGGACTGTCTGGCCCAAGACTGGCTGCTTCCTCCGTCCAGCTCAGCTGAGCTCCTCTGGACCTCCAGGCCTGACCGTCCTCCAAGGTGGGCAGACAGATGGACTGGCACGTGCTCCAAGAGTTGCTAACATCGAGCCCTGGGGGCACCTGCTTTCATCATTTCTTTCTCCCCGAGTCGAACCCTTTTGGATCAGCCTATATGTATTTCAGTATAAAACAGTTGGAACCACAAAGCTGTGTTCACGTGTGTATCTCTCCAGTACCTGAATGGGACGTGACTGTGTAGGGCATGTGTCTGGGTGGACGGGGTGGGACTGGCGTGTATGTCACCTCTGGCTCAGCATTCTGAGTGAATAGTGAATCCTTTGACAAGACTGGTTGGGCGTGGGGTGGGCTTTGAGGCTTGGTGTCTGGCCAGCCTAAAGACTCAGCGTGTTCTGCCTCTCTAGGACTTTCCACCTCCCCCTCCCCAACTCAGGCATCTCCTCTTCCTTTCTTAGGTACCCTTTACTTAGGTGGTAGTTACCTGTACCTTCTGGTTTCTTTCACCACACCTGGGAAGAGGTTTCACTTTATACACATGGAGCCCACAGGAATAGGTTGGGCCAGAAACTCTCTAGGCAGGGAGAGCTACTGGTCCCCTGGCTGTGGCCTTGTGATTTCTTGTGATTTCTTGGGATTTCTTGCAATTCCCTCCCTCTGCTTCCTCACTCTCCTTTCAAGATAAGGTCTGGAAAAACACACCTTTTTCTTGTGGCCCGAAGCTTAGCATTAACCATAGGTCTGACAGCTCCTCTAGGAATCAAGCTTAATCTATGGCAGCAGCAGGAACATCCTTAAGAGAAAAAGCAAAAAACACAAAAACATCGTTTCCAAAATAGAGGCCTCCGCCTCTCTCGCCTGAGTGGCTGGAGATCGGGAGCACAGTGCTGGCCACCTTGTCTCCTATTACCAGGAGGGCGTCCCCTATTTCCCCCTTGTGAGCCTGCTCCCAGAGTGATCTTTCCAGAACCCTTGGCTCTTCACTGCACGCTGGGACATAGACTGAGGCCCTGCTATGTCCCCACCTGATTGGCACAGGAGAGGTCAAGTTGGAGGTGGTCCTTAGTGTCCAGCTCTGTATAGGCCCTGAGAACCTGAGACCCTGACACCTGAACCCTAGAACCAGGTGGCTACCCCTCACCAGAACATGCAGCAGAGACGAGGGTCCAAAGCTCTTCTGAGAAGGTCAATCTGGGGATGAGCCCACTGTGTACCCATTGTGTGTGCCTGTGTGGAGGCCCTGAGAGTCAGCCATCCCGCAGAGGAGAACGGAGGTGAAGGGGAGGAAGGGGCGGGGCCGTGGCCACAGGACGTGCCGAGGGAGCTTGAGAGGTTGGGGAGACCTGAGAATACTCAAAGGTAGAGAGGAGGAAGCCACTGGGGAGGGAAAGATCAAAGATAGAACAGATAATGTGAGATAATTAATGGAACCCGTTTCTGGAGAAGAGAAAGGAGTTGGCTTTGGAAAGAAAGTTTTCATCCAGGCACAGGAAGGCAGGAAGAAACAAATGTACACCATGCAACTGTCAGCAAGAGTAAAAGAGCTTTGGGGGATACTGATTGTGCCTAATTTTTTCATTAATTTATTTGTTGTTCTGAGTTGCAGATAAGAGAATGCATTACTCAAATAGTAAAGGGAACTTGATGGCTTTATAGAAATGAAATGATCAGAGGGACCCGTTCAGGCAAGGGTCGATCTGGCTCCTCATCTAGGTCACCAAATGCTCTCTCTGCCATCATCAGAGGGGGCTTCGATCTAAAGCTTGCTTTATTCCTAGAGCTAGGGTTAATGCTGCTCCCTGGTATAGGCCACCAAGCTAAACTCAGGGAGAATGGAGAGTGGATCATGAGGACACACCACGTCCAGCAAACGTTTATTGAGATACTCAACATGGCAGCCCTAAAGCAAGTTCTGAGTATACAGCAGTGAGTTACATACGACTCTCGACCTTCCATATCTCCTGAAAAGTGTATCAGGAAACCAAGGTTATTCGTACCTGTATGGGAGTAGGGGTAGGGAGGTCAGGGGACTCTCGAGAAGGAACAGCATCTGAGCAGAGTGTTAGATGGGCCCAGTGGCTAGGAGGGGAAAGCCGTGCTGAGCCACAGAGCTTGAGGCCATGTCTGGACTTGCAGAGAGCCAGGCTTGTTCACAGCATGGTTGAGGGAGAGGGAGCCTGCAGGGAAGCATGCTGGGAGGTGAGAGGGAAGAGGGGTTGGAAGGGCAACGCCAGAGGGGATTTAAGGGCTTTGTGTGGGCAGTTGAGGAGTTAAAACTTCATCCTGGAGGCAAGGAAAAACACAGACGGGCTTAAAGCTGGACTGGCCTTGGTCAGAATCAGAGGTTTTGAAAAATCATTCTAGCTTAGTTGTTATCTTGAGAGATATTAGTCCTCTGGGGACATGTGGGTCGGCTTTAGGTTATACAAGCCTATGGTCTTTGAGAAGGTCAGTGATCTCCCCCAATTCTCAAGAAGGTCTGTGATCATGGATGGTGAAGAACAATTGCTCAGGATACGGTGTGACCAGTTGCAGAGGGCTGTTTCAGAAGGCTGGTCATTAGTCCAGCAGTCAACTGGGGAAGATCTGAAAGGCAGGGCAGGAGTGATTCATTCATTCATGGCTTTTATTCATTCATTAAAGGAAAATATATTTGGCTATCTGTGTACCAGGCAGGGTGCTAGGGTCTAGAGATACGATGTTGAGCAAGAAAACATAGTTCCTCCCCTCCCAGAGCTCACAATTGAGTAGGAAAGAGACACAAGTAGAGAGTCAATTACAATGCACTGATGGATAAGCAAGATGAGAGAGGGAACAGAGTGGGCAAAGACTGACTATAACCAGAAACCGGTTCAAAGATCTACAAGAATTTCCATATGGGCACAGAGCAGTGGTTCCCAACCAGGAGCAATTTTGCCCCTCGGCACATTTGACAGTGTCTGGAGATGTTTTTGATTGTCATAATTGAAGTGTGGGGAGTGAGGGTGCTACTGGCAACAGGAGCTGCTAAGCATCCTTCGATGCGCAGGATAGCCACCGCTCTCTCCTCCAACAAAGAATCATCCGGTTCAAAATGCTGATAGTGCTGCTGTTGCAAAACTCTGGCATAAAGATAGTGGATTCTAGAGGTAAAGAGCAATTAGCCTCGATAGACCTGTAGGATTGACTGGTGAAGGCCAAAGGAGGCAGGGGTGTGTGGGATGAGAGATTCATAAAATCAGTTTTGGACAAGAAGTTTCAGACATGTTTAGGGCACAAAGTGCCCTCCTGCCTTCCACGTCTCCCTGCAGTTATGAGGTCTCTCCCTTCACAAAGTTCCTGAGAGCCTTGTCTACACCTACTGTCTCCATGTCTCCTCACCTCACTCTCTCCTCCACCACTGTGGTCTGACTTTATTCCTGTGGCAGACTCTGTGGGTCTCCTTCTCCAATAGCCATCCCCTCTCTCTTCCTCTTTGCTGAAAGAACTCTGATACTGTTCAGCTTTCCCTGTGGCCATGTGCTGAGAAAGAGTCCCACCCCAGCCCCAGGGGGAGGTGTCTTATTAGATCAAACCAATCACAGTGAAGTCATCGCCCTCGCCAGTGTTTGGTTAGAAAGACACACGTGACTCATTTATGACCAATGAGATATGAGAGGAAGGTAGCAGTGGTTATGGGGGATGACCCCAGCCTGGGAAAGTTTTTCAGAAAGTTTTTCAGAAAGTTTTATCCCCCGTAACAAAGGACGCAAAAGGAGAGACATCTTCACCTTCTGCCTTTTAGACATTTTGTGGAAAAATGTAATGAAAGGAGTCATGGCTGCCATCTTGTGTTCCCGGGGGGACAAGCCTGAGGAAGAAAGTCAACACACGGAGGATGGCAAGGACCTGGCTCTCTAGGAAGCTATTGGGAAAGAACCAACTCTGAAACTGCCCTACCTCCAGATGTCTTGTTATGTGGGATCATAAATTCCTTATTATTTAAGCCATCTTTGGTTGGGTAGTGTGCTACCCACAGCTCAAAGCATCCTTTCTGGTAAATTTCGTCTGCTCCCCCGAAGACTGATTTTACTGCAGTCGCCAATAACCAGGGCTGCCGTGTACAGGCACCACATCTAAGACCCCATACATTTATTATTTATTATAACAATTTTCCCACAGATGGCAGTAAAGTGTTTTGTTCTAATAAAATCAGTGTGTTACAGTAGTTTTCTAATAGAAGTAAACTACCTTGAGGAAAGAGCACCTTTTTCTAATTCACACCAGGGCCCCATCCAGCCCCGGTTGTTAACTCTGTGGACGCTCACCCTTCCCGACTCTTGCAGCAGCTGGCAGTGCTGAGCGTCCTCTTGATATGCTTTCATTCACAACGGTCACCCGATTTCCCACCTCCCTCTCCGGCCTTATTTCTTTGAATCTTTCTCGGTCCTCATGCCCCTGTTCTTCTTATACTGCACGCCTCCTCGGCAGCCTCACATACTTCTATGGCTTCCATTGCTCTCCAGAGGCTACTGACCCCAGAGTCCCTACCTCTAGCCTCGTTTCTGCTCCGTGCTGCAGCCATGTTATCCAGCTGCTTCCCCAGCGGGCATCTTCCCCAGCGTGACTTGCAGGTACCACAAACTCAAGACTGTCCACTGAATATCTCCATCCTCCACTCCACGAAAACAGTTCCTGCTCTTTCGTGCCCTCCATACAGTCGCCGGAACCGGGCATGTGGGAGACATCCTTGAGTCATACCTCCTCCTAACCCCATATTCCAAACAACACCACAGTTTCTGGCTCTCGAATCTCTCTGCATCAAGTTATTTCTCTTCCTGTTGCCACCATCTCCACTTACAATTAGGCCTCCAGCAGGCCGGCATCATCGAAACCCAAGTGTCACTCCTTCGACCTTCTTGTTCTCCTCTCCCCTATGCATTATTCACGAGCAGTCATATCTGGACCCGATCGTGGTTCCCCACCATCCTTAGGGGGAGGCGAACCATACTAGCACATGGTCCCTCCAGAGGCCACTGCTTGCTTGACTTTCCCGCTTCATCTGTTGCCTTTCCCTCTGCTCTGCTGAGCTCAACCGTTTGCTGACCTGGCCTTTGCCCATCGCTCAGATCTCAGCTTAGCCCCTTTCTCTGGTGTGTTTCCTCTGACCCGCCCCGGTGCCCATCCCCCATTGAAACCTAGCAGCCTTGACTGTCCCTCTTAGCCTATGCCT